CGATTATTTAATTTCATCCAATAAATATCTGTTTTAGCACTATCACTCTCTCATTGGCTGAAATCTGTATGTGTGATATTCAAACTTCGGTGTGGCTTAAATTCCCTCGTTGTCTGTAGCGAAAAGTCATTTTTCGGACGATGCGTCGAACAAAAATGTCGACGTGAGGATTTGTTTGACATTAAAATCCGGGAAATTTGGACGACCATTCCGCGCTGTTGCAAACAGGCATCGCAACAGGCCCAACCACGACCACTCGAAGCACACGTTGGGGTATGCAGTGGCGACATCCACCACATCCCCTTCAAGCTCAGTCGGGCATCGACCCCCTCCCTGGTTTTCGGTGGGACCTGGATCAACCACGTCAGCAGTCCAGGGGCTTCTATTGAACGGCAAATGGCAATTTACGTTGTGGCAATGTGGTTGTATCGGGGTGGATTGCATTTCTTTGTGGCGGCATGGCATGCTCCAGTTCGATCAACCATTCTCGACAGGGCTTCAACATTGTATTTGCAGGAGTCACACCATCTACTTGCATATGCCGTCGTGCGGTGGCTCCTTCGCGTTCAAGCATAAGAGGTGACGCGAGTCACCTAAGGTCGGGGAAACAATCCAGCCCGACCTCGACCCTCGATGCAGCTGAAAAAGCCCCCCCCCCCGCCACGAATGCAGATGCGGGAGAACCGAGGGGCGAGACAAACGGGGGGAGAGTACACGCACGTGGCAATTCTGTCAAGTGTCTCGAGAGGGGTGCTGCTGGTCAGGCACACGAATCTCCCAGCCCTGCTACTGGCGTTGTGCCCAGAACGGCCAACGTGAAGCGCAGGTCGCCCTCGGCCTAGCGCAAGATTTCGAATCGTCGGGGCCTCCACCAGGGGCGACCTTTGTCGTGGGTCAGATAAAGCTCACATGCAGCCACCGAGATGATGCGAGTCCGCCCTCGATAGCGGGACATATATCGAAGCGTCGTCGTCTTTCGAAACACGCCGGGTATTCTTCAACAGCCACGCGATCGCTGGTCCAGACAATCCATGACGATGAGAGCCTTTCGTGGTGACGATGCGCCACTCACCAACGTTCGATTGGAGGGGGGTGAGTTCAGAGCGTCACGTAAACTTGATCACTTCCACCGAAAATAGCGACCTGTGCAAACCAGGGTACCTCACCAAGCGTCTCACATTCGCACTGGAGAGAAGAAAAACCTTGCGTTCGATACCGTGGGCAGCACTTGAATCGGCTGAAAAGATGTGCCTATTGCAATGCATGCGCCGGCATTCATCCAACACTCGGTTTCTGATAGTTCGATATTTCCGACGACCCCAGCCATGCTGCACGCTGGTGGTCTCCACAACGTTTTTTTTCTATTTATAGATATTTTGGTGCAGCGTTTCACCAGTCCAAACAGATACATTGCGCTTCATTCTTTGATTGGTACGGTTAAGTCGAGTGTTTTCAATACTCGAGTATATATGTTGAATATATTTTTTAGCACTACAGTATATATTGAATATATTTTTTAGCACTACAGTATATATTGAATATATTTTTAGCACTACAGTATATGTTCAAACTCAGCTCCTTATTGCTGCATACTACTTGTGTTCCAAGATTCAGTATGAGTCACTCGATCCCGTCAGACCGATTCCACATGACCACAAAGTAAGAAGGTTTTGCGAACATTATGTCGATACCCTTTTGGTGTGATGCATGCGGTCACTCTTCCTTTCATCACTACTCCCCCCCCGTCCTCAACGATGTCCTTGTGCGTGAAGAGTAGGGTCTTCCTCGTCGGAATCTTGTGCTGTGCATGCCAAAGTCCATCGGAATTTCTACATTTCCATTCATCGTTCGATGTCGTTGCGTATTTTTGTCAACGAAGGAGCGGGGTCGTGAACTCGGTGGTATGTCGACGGTGTACGATGGACCCCAAGCAATTGAAACGAAAGGTGGGTAGTCCGCATCCCCCAACGCAAGAACTATGTTGCAAACTGTATTCAGTTGTCTCGGAGGATTCTCTCTCGGCCAGCTGGTCGAGAGAGGTACTCCCGTGGGAATCCCACTGCAGTCGTAGGC